CAAATTTGTAAAGTCACAGCTAAAGGATTTTAATAGGTTCAAGTCAATATATTATCCCTAAAATTTATTTTAGAAGAAGAAGTAGGTCTAGCAATTTCTTTCATATCGCAATATTATTTTATTATACGATTGCAGGCCAATATGCCAAGTTGAATTACACTGTATTGAATAGTTGATCACAGATTCACAGAAGGTCCGATGAACTGGATTTATTTCCTTCATTGTTCATGGCATTCACGTCCTTAATCCTTTTGTACACCATGAAATATCACCAACTTATCACTCAAAACATATTTTACGGCGATCGGACTAACCACACATAAGCTATATAACTTTATATGTTTATCACTATTCGCCAAAGACCGAGGTGAAATTAATCGATGTATGACAATGGCCAAATTCCACGCTTAAATTCGTTTCTCATCCTCGTAGTGACAATTAAATCAAAGAACCACCTCTTCTTTATGATATTTCAAAGTATCATGAGTTTTGCTTGGATACATAAAAAGCTAGAGCACTTTTAGTGGCTCTATTTCGTATTCCGCCATATTAACTCCTATAAAATTTCCTCTGGTTTGGTTGCTTTCAACATGGCGGCCACACCGGAAGTCGGCTGACATTCTGGCACACTTTTTACCCTTGAGTGAACCTTCTGCCCTTATCTCTTCTGTGACAATATTGATTCCCGTGTCAAGTCTTCAATTCAAACAGTGAAGAACAGTTTGCCGAGACCGTAAATGCAAAAAGAAAAGTTATATATTCATAAAGATCATCTACAGCGAACATTCTTGCATATTGCTATTGAAAAAGCAAACAACACCCTTGCTAAAGCGCTTGTATTTAGTGGTTTCAACGTTAATACTAAAGAAGGATGTGGTATAACTCCACTTCATTTGACAATTACTTGTGGCAACATATCAATGGCACAGTTTTTGATTGATAGAAATGCACAGTTCAATGGTCCTATGTTTTCAAGCATTCCCTCTCCAAAGACGATGGCTGAGAAACTTCACCTTACCGAGTTACTAAGAATCATGGAGGCGAAAGAAGAGGAATCAGAAGAAGATGACACTATAGCCAGCATTGACCATAGATTCAACCTGAAGCCATTAATCAGTTCAACAGAGGAAACAGAGAAATTAGTAGGAGAGTCGAAGAGTTTGTCACTCACATAGTTGGTGATGTTGGTACGTGCAAGGCTAATTGTGCTGTCATGGCTAGATCGTGTTCATATGATTGGGCTGGGATTTGTATAGGAGACTTGCATAACAAAGGTTATTTTAATGAGGCCTGTTTTAAAGAACATGGTAAATCTGGACTTCATTACATTATCCACGACGTTCTGAAGCAAACGAAGTTGACTACAGAAGTTTTTAAGACCAGAAAATTCCAGGAAAACTTCCTACTGCAAACCAGAGAAGCTAACCGAGATGTTTGTTTCGGATATTGCATGGCTGCTTGCATGGAATTTCATCGCTCTACCTTTTTTCCAACAAATGCTGATTTTGCACAGTCAATGAGGACAAGCTGCAACCATTCGGGTGTTTTGTTATCAAGATTCAAAGAGTGGGTGAAAAAGAGTTCAGATGAAGATGTCACTTTCAAGCATCATGCTAGTGCATTCAATTACTACGGTCCACTTATGCAGCTATATGATGATTGTATAAGATATAATGATGGAAAAGCTAGAGAAGTTGTATTCAAGTTGGTTATGCCCAACTTGGATTTAAAAACTACTTTCAAGAAACTTTTCAACATGTGGTGAATGTTACTGCTAAATGGCCTAAAGCAGCACGATCTATACTACAGGACAACTGTAGTGTTAATCTGAGTGGCAAAATGGGAAAGGGCATCGAAATGGATGCTTACATTGAAAGTGAAGTCATACAACCATTGAAAGCTTACTTTACTGGTCACACAACTGTGAAAATGTGTCAACGAATCACGGGAAACATTGACCTGTTGAAGTCATGTCTTTTCCAGACCAACCAAAGGTTGGTTGGTTTTGTATGACAAAGGAGTTCTTTGCCAATCAAAGAAGGAAAGAAGTCAGAACAATGCCTCTAGGGAAAAAGGAATCTTACAAGATAAAATCTCCAGCAAGGTCATTTTCTCATATGAGAAAGGAGTGGAAAAAATCAAGAAAGATCTAAAAGTTAAGTTGTACGAATGTTTTCCAGATTTAAGGTACAATATCCTCGTTGAAGAAAGTGGCACAAGTGAGTGAGTGTTAACGCTTTAAGATAAAACTTTATAGACGATTGCACATTTACATTTGCAGACTTTTCAGATACATGAATAAATAGCTATTTTAATAGGTAATTAGGTATACAGTATGATTGACTGCAACTGACTGGTTGAAAGGTTATATAAATACCAATAATATAATGGGGTTTTCTCTCAGCCAACGCTTTCTTATTTGTTGGATTATGGAAATTTAAATGCAACAAAAATCAAAAAAGGTCCAAGTTAATATCATCAATTTTTCATCTCGTTATAAAAACTTTGAAATCTTCATGCTCAAATTAGTTTATATGTACAACCTAGAAAATGTAGGAAAAACAAAATGTTCAAAACGCTGTAGCTCATGCTCTGAATGGCCAAACAATGGGCGATTTTCGGTATAGTTTATACTGACTATCAGACTAATTTGAGGGTTTATGTTTAGCAAATATGAAGAATACATAAAGCATAATGCTAATAATAAAAAAAACAGAATTCTAGGTTGCCAAAATTTGGCCTATGACAGGCCTATAATGTCAATTTTACTAATTGTTGCATTGCTTAAGGAGGCTCCCTACATTTCCCAATTTATGTCAGTGTTTTAAATTAAAAGCTATTTGAATCTAAAAAAACTAATTTTTTCGTCCATATGGCCCTATAACCAATTTTTCATCTATATGGCCTATAACCAAAAAACCCATCTTAGTTGACAAATAAACTAAAAACGGGGTTTTTTAGTGCGTATAAATGTAACCTGATGATGGAGTAAACTTCGAAACGTTGTTACAATTTATTAAATTTGTTATAAAAAAAGCCTTCTGGTCGTTACTAAAAATAAAATGTATTTTCTGCAATAAAAAGGCAGGTAACTGTGGGGGTTTTTTCTGCTAAGACAGCTTTTTTTGTTGATATAGGCCGTATAGATATGACTGTATGCCCCTTTAAAGTTAGTATATTTGAACTTGAATTCAGACAATGTCAATTATAAATAATGTGAATCAATTGACATGATACTTGTATTTTCAAATTGCTGTGCTAAGTGGTTATATTACTACCTGAAATAAACAAGCAGAAACTCGACGTTTATAGAGAAGGTCCTTCGTCAAGAGTTAGCAGCTGGGATCGGGGAAAATGCACGGGCTTTTACACTAAGCATATGAAAGCATCAGCAAGCTCTTAGTATAAAAGCCCATGCATTTTGATGAAGGGCCTTTGCTTGAAACGTAGAGTTTCTGCTTGTTTATTTCAGGTAGTAATATAACCACTCAGCACAGCAATTTCACATTGGTACTACCCACACTGGTACAGATAGTTTTACTTGTATTTTCATACTGCTAATGAGTAAAGCTGTTGTTACACAGAGCGATTTTAGCGACAAGTTTATATGTTAATGATGAGTCTGAAACCAATCAAATTTCATGTAACCTCATGCACAGTATGACTTGTCATTACAAGCTGTTCTGTGTAACATTAACTTTAGAGACATTAAGCATATTTAATAACAGGTAGATTAAGTTGAGGAAAACTCTCACAATTGTCACTGGCTAGATTTCTACATGGATGTTTGGGGCAACCATGTTCACTTTGAAATTGCGCATATCAGATTAGGTGTTAAAGTGCTGTGTTACATTACCACCTCTTGAGATTTTCCTAAACTTAATCAAATGAGAAAAATACCAAATATATTATAGCATATACTATAATTAATAACACATTATGCCAACATAAGAAAGTGTAAATCATGAAGGTTGGTAACCTTTGGCATAGACTATTGTCAATAGAATAAAACACTGTCCTCACTTAGTAGTTCTCTTATATTCCCATTGGACAAATAAGTGGATTTTACACTGTCATGTTCATTTCTTAGATTTTCTATTAAAATTCCTTTAAATATCAGATAATAAATGAATCCAGAAAGGCGACCAACTGATTTAAAATGGCTTTTTCCTTTTCCATATTCTGCAACTTGATCAAATTTTTGTTTCTTACCACAGCTCCTTTAGATCCATTGTAAGTTCATGCCAATTCATCTACACTCACTTTATCATTAATTATCTGCATGTGCTGCAAACAAGCAACGAGTTGCTTACCATGGACTGTATTATCCCTTGTAATGGGTACAGCTGGATTTTGACAGTTTCCACATTTCCCACATGGCTCTTCTAGGGTGCTGTCGAAGTAATCTGCAATCAATTTTTGGTAGCAGTGGTGCCTCTCTAATAAATAACTGGAAAAATCATTTAATGATGACAGACGTTTAGCTCTAGCCTCTGCAGACACAGTTTTGGAAATGTTACTTAAATGGAACTTTCGATCCTCAAACCTGTGCAGAACAATACAACGGGCATCAGAACCATCTCGTCCTGCTCGTCCAGATTCTTGCACATATGCTTCATAGCTGGATGGATGTGATAAATGGATAACAAATCGTACATCCTGTTTATCTATACCCATCCCAAAAGAGTTATTTGCACAAATAACATCAACTTTCCCATCAAGCCACAAACTTGCATGCCTTAAATTCACTTCAGGATCCATAATACCCCCATGAAAATAAATTGTGGATATATTGTTATTCTTCAACTCAAGTGCCAATCTTGCTGTTTCTTCACGATGGCTGCAATATACAATCCCACACTGACCACTGAAACGTGAAGTAATCAAGTCAGCAACTTGCTTCATAGCAGCTGATGGACCAGGTTTTTTTTCATAAACTTCAAACACCAAATTCTCTCTGGTAAATGGCAATTTTACATGTTTCGGGTCAGATAGTCGTAGAGTCCCTGTTATTTGCTCAATGGTTACAGTTGTAGCAGTTCCAGTTAATGCCACAATAGGAACCCCATATTTTTTAAGTTTTCCAAGCTCTTGATAGTCAGGGCGTATGTCCACTCCCCATGTGTCAATACAGTGAGCTTTGTCAATTGCAAAAAAATTAAGTCGTCCTTCAACTTTCAACTTCTTCATTAGAGAATCCAAAGATGGACTCAGTAATACCTCGGGACTTACAAGTAAAACTTTGTATTCACTGTCAGGTCTGGACAAATTAGCAATGACTGACTTACAGTGTTTGCTAGTTAGCATAGAATTTACATAGCAGGTGTTGATGCCTTTCTCTCTTAATTTAAGAAGTTGGTCATGCATTAACATCAACAGAGGAGACACTACAACTGTTATTCCAGGAATTAACAATGTTGGAATGCTATAAACGATTGTTTTTCCACCATCCGTTGGAATCACAACAATAGCATCCTTCTTGTTTAACACAGCAGATATTGCTTCTTCCTGACCTGGTCTGAAATGAAGAAATCCAAAAACATTTTTAAGGACTGCATGTGGATTATGATCCTCAACATGATAGTTATAACCAGTTGGCAGTATTGCCTCTTGAAGAGGTTGATCATCAAACCTTTGAACTGGTATCTACAAAGAGGTTAAATAAATCAATTACAATTATTTGTGCACAATCATTGTTGCAATGTTGGTTGGATTTGACATATGATTTTCTTCTCTACAATTTGAAATTCATCCAACATGGCACAATTCCCTTTGTACTAATGTACTTTGAATAATTGAATGTATTTTGATTAGTTACACACCACCTATTGGTCTTTTCAATAATGATAAAGAACAATGTATATATCCATGTTAAAGGCACAGTTCAGGATACACGAGCATGCGCATTACGACCATTTTAATTGAAAAAACTAACTAGGAACATCAATTAAGCATAATTCAAGATAGATACCTGCTCGCAGGTAAATTCAAGATGGCGGACGTCACACTCACACTGTCATGCTCGAATTACAGTATAAATAAGCATGTCAACTCTCAAATCTAAAGTATTTTAATTTAATATGGAAATTAGTCATTCATCAGATGATATTCATTTCCGGGCTCCAAGTGAACCAGCTCCGAGGATCGAGGAAGGTTCGAAAAGACAGAATACAAATACAATAACAAGAAGAGACTGTCGAGGCAAAGTCAAAGGTGGGAAAATGTTAGGCTGTGGTAGGAGGAAAGTCTACGAAGCAGGCTACTTAGGTGTGCAAAGTCTTTTGTGGAAGTCGATTTCCATTCACACAAACGTTCACAAAGAATGGCATATTAAACGCAAAGAGCAGGGTTTCTCGAACAACACTGACTTTGCCTCCTTCCTTTTGGCAAATATTGGTGAGAATAATCATCAAGCTGCCAATATGTGTTTAAACAATACTTGTGAAAGGTGAGATTAACTTATTATTTTAATCGGTTAGCGGCGTTTTCACAGGTGCTAAGCCTCAGTTTTTCGTGTTATATTTTATAGTTTTGAGTTGTGTGATGAAGATGAGTTCAACCCATCCAACCCTCAATTATGCACATCAACGCCCAAGAGAGCAAGAACAGCATTGTTTAATAATTCCCCTCATTGCTGTACAGAAATTCCAGGTAAATAGTGCCAGTGGACAGTGGTCAAAGACATGGCATAATTTTAATTCATTTTACTGCAACAAACATCAGTTGTATGTAATAAAGAATTAATCTAGTCTCCATTGCTTGGAATACTGTGGCTCATTCATGCTTTGAGAAGCGTCATACCACTTGTATGTACATGGCAAAAACATATAACATCTAAATGAGTTTTACCTTGATGATCCAGTTTGACTAACTCACTGGCATTCATTGCGGGTGAGGATTTGGGTTAATGTTAGGGTGATATCCAAACCAGGTTGACATCACCTGCAACAAATGCCTGTGAGTTAGTCAGTCAAATTGCCTGTGAGTTAGTTAAATCAAACCATTGGTAATCATGGTAAATTACAAATTAATAACAGGAAATTAGTGATTATACAGTATGTCAGGGCATTTGTGGACCCGAAGAGCATTGAGCTCTTTCGACCCACATACTTCCATGAGCTTTCAGGGACTGTTAATCATTAATTCTCCTCATGTCATGGTATTGCTTGATTTGCTTCTTAAATGTACTACTTGTCATCCCTTTAGCCAAAACAACACCTGATAAAAGAGTAACAACTGAAGAAATCCATGAAAACATAAACATATCAAGACAACGTGATGTTCAATCTTCTTCTGAACAAGTTTTTCTAGACACAGTTGTCAAGGAAAATAGCCTTTCAGAGTCAGGATACTTATTGCTAGACTCTGACAGTGAGACTGCCTCTGATAGCGACAATGATGTTTTCTATACCAGTAGCAGTAGCAGTGAATATGAAGAAGACCCAAACCCTGTCATGGATCAGTTTGATATTTCCTATGATGATGACCTTTTTGTTCATGAATCTGAAACACCTGACTCACAATGTAACCATGATGAAACTTGTGTTGAGCCTATTGACATGGATATTACATCAGAACTGGAACTTGGAACAATTGAACTGGATGTTGCTGTCAATAACCATACAAGACTAATTCCCGAAAATTATTACAAGGATATGGAAAAAGATGGAAAAAGATTTGGATAATGAAATGAAGTTTGTTACTGAAAAAAGATTCATATGTGATGTCTCTAAAATAAAGAAACTTTTCACATCTTGTATGGCTAAAGAG